GCCAATCCAAGACACTCCTTTGGCAAACAGGGACTGAACTTGGAACTGGAGTCTTCTTTTTGCTGACAACAGAAGCTCAGCCTCTTTCCAAATAAAGAGGATGTCAGCAACTTAAACAGGTGCTGTCGCCAGCTGCATTAGCAGTCTGAATTAAGAGTTAAGCCTTGTTAAAAATGTTGTTACTATGAGTTTCTTGAATTACCCATTTGTCGGTGTTCAAGCCTCCCCCCTTCTCATCTTTTGAAGTTAAATATCTAATTAAAGGAGATGGTGTATTCCCCCCCCCCCGCTAATGGACATGCTGATAAACGCATGTGCTTGAAGATTACAGTACTATGTAGTACACAGCCTGCCTTTCACATCCTAACGGGGCTCATTTTGAACCCTTGATAATAGCATATTCTAAAACAACTGTTCTTTTCTGAAATACTTTGATCTAAACTACAAACACCCTCAGCTTTTAAAAAAGCATGGAACAGGGTATTGCAGAATAATAGCAAAAAGCAGGTGGAATTCAAGCATAGAAAGCTAGGAGTTTTTCAGTGGCTGCCCCCATGTTTGTAGAACAGAGTTCATGGGGGCTTCTACCCACTTGGCTTTCTAGCAAGGCTGTAAAACAGAATTATTCTGGAAAGATTTTCAAGCAATGGGAGCCTGAGCAAAGGGGAAATATGAAAGGGCTTGACAAATCCCAGGTGCCTAGAAATTTCATTGTAGCACCTTCTTATTTGCAGCAATTATTTTATTGTAGCATCTCTCAGCAATTCTCAGTGGAAGTACAAAAGGGTGGATCAAACCAGTTTTTCCCATGGGTGAAAAGGGAGGAAGGGATCCTCTTTGACCGTCAAAAATGGCACTTTGGAAATCAGTGCTCCCTCTAAGCTCTGGAGTCTTGTGAACAAAAATTCTACTTTGTGAGCTACTGGCATTAAAGTTGTGAGCGAGCAGTTTGGCTGCTGCATAAATTAGTTTGCTCTGGAGCTATCCTTCTTGAGCTAAGACAAAAATGTGTGATCTGGAGGCTAAAAACCTGTGAGCTAGCTCACACTAACTCAGCTTAGAGGGAATGCTGTTTGGAATCATGGGGCCTGTGTGGACAAATGCTGTGTGGAATGAAGGCTGTAATAGGAAGAGAGATTCACTAGTTTTTCACTCATTCTTGGCCAGATCCAACCCAGAGCTTATTGATCATTTATTTATCATTTTACATCAGAATGACATAATAATAAATGTGCATGAAGTTCTTGTCATTGCTTGTTTATATGCAAACTTAACTTTATACTCTTTGGTGGTGATGGATGCATTTCTTAACTGGTTGCTTTCTACATTAGCTCCAATATTCAATTAAACAGAACTTTTAAAAGTAACAAGGAAATTATGAGAAAGTGGGAAGGAGTTAATCTAGGGTTAGATGTTAGCTTTTTGTCAAGGTGGTGACATCATGGGGTATCTCCCTATATTTATTTATTTACTACAATACTTTTGTCATACCTTTAATAAAATTATGAGAAACTGTGCAGAGGTTAGATTAGTTTTGTAGTTATAAGTAGATAATGTCATGAAAGTATGAAACTGAAGGCTGAAAATGAGTCTGACTTCTAATTTTACATTATTATTTTTTTGGCTGGCCGAAGAAAATGCATCAAGGCATTTTTTATAATTTTTGTTTTAATGTTTAATTGTTTTTGTATTTTATATTGTTGTTACCCATCATAGGTCCTGAGTTGCCTAAGAGAAAGATGGGCATACAAATATGAATAAATAAATTCTTGGCATGTAAGTAAGGGTGTTCCATAAGCATGAAGCACTGATACTGGTCGGACCTCATACTTCTGTTCCATTAATGGAAAATGGTATTCCTTCGGCAGATTTCTTCTGAGGAAGGCTTTGCCATTAGTGGAATAGAAAGAGTGGGTTGGATCCAGGGCAAGGCTACATTTAGTGGAATAGAGCTTTCCTGAGTCCCTACTCCCATTGCAACCCACTGATCTGTAAAAACGCTGCTCATAGGGAATAGGAAGCCATGAAAAATGACATGGGAAGTCTACAGCAGGAAGGGGTAATCAGGCCCAATGTGTCTCTGTTTTGCCAGACATGGTGGAAATTTGCTTCAAGTATTGTATTGGAGAATGAAAAATGTTTTGACAATGTAGATCTCAGCCACAAAGTACATTGTTGTTAGAGTTCTAGAGGGGATATTTGACATACTTATGGATTTAAAAGCTTTAAGTGCCTTCGTTTTGTACAAGCAAAATTGCAGATATAGCCAATACTCGAGAGAAAACAGCGAACTGATGCACCCTATGCTATCTTAGCGTATGTACCTTAATTTTTGCTATCTGGTTAGAAGAGAGCTAAGTTCTCAATGAAACTTTTAGTTTTCCTGTTAGGCTGTGGTGCAGTTTCTGCCCCACATTCTTCTGATACTTTTTTCTCCCTCCTGCAAGATAGGGTAATAAGCTACTTATTAGGGATGCCAGCCTCCAGGTGGGACCTGGGGATCCCCTGGAATTACTGCTCACCTCCATAGGTACCTGGCAACCCTATATTTTACCCTATCAGTGGGTAAATGTGTCACAGTGATTTGAGGGAAAGATGAAAAGATCTACCATATCATGTCAAAAGGACAACAGAAAGTATACAGCTATTGGAAAGCAATGAAAGCCCTGTATGCTCCCATCATGAAGATTAGGTATCTTTCCAGATGCAAAAATGCATCTTGGATGTAGAAGCTATATATGTCTACTGCATGCACATCTTGTAATTAAAAGAATTTATTTCATTTATAAAGAGAAAATATGTCATAGTTTGTTTTTTCAATACTCCTCCAAATCCCCCATTTTACCATCAGAAAAACTGGAAAAAGGGCCTCAGGAAAAAACAGAAAACAATGGCCACATTTTTCAGACGGGGGGGGGGCTTTTCACACTTCTACACTGAGGCATCATGGTATAGAATGTTGTCAACATCTGTAACTCCTTAATCTGGAATGCACACTGTAGTGAGTTGCAGTGCTTGTCCTTAACATAATAGGGCTATTATAGCCTTGGAAGTTCATATCAGGAGAAGAGCTCTTCTCTCACTACCCACTCCCCTTCAGTCACTTACCTAGCTGTTTCTGGGGCATCTCCTAATCACTGGTGGTAGCAGGTTTCTCTCCCTGTCACCACAAGCCTGCTAGGGCAGCAACAAGTACCTTTTTTGGGACAACTGGCATCTGTATTAAATATATCAATTACCTGTAAAAACTACATTTAGCAAGTCCCTTATCTGGAAAAACTACATTTATTTATTTATTTAAATTTGTGGCCTGCTCACCCTGAAACCAGCTCAGAGCGGGTAACAACATTTATGAATTATACAGTCTAAAACATTATAATCATTACAGTAAATATACTAACAATTAAATAATTACAATAAAATCAATAAAATAAAACTACTATACAACTAAAACTCGTATGGAGGGGCAATGTATAATCATCTGATAAGAAGACAGAAACCAAAGTCTTTGTCTTGCCAGAGATTCAGAACCTACTGCTGAAGCTACCAGGCAAGGAGTTTGGGAGCTTATTAGAAAATGAGTTTGGGTTTATTGGAAATCTGAAATTATGAACAAAATGTAAAACTTTTATGAAAAGGCTAATTTCCTCTCTTATAATTTTTTCTAAATTACATCATAAGTTTAATAATTATTGCACTCTTTCAGGTTATCTAAAATACAGATTTTCAGAGCAAAGTGTTCAGGAACGAACTTTCATGATAGGTAGAAACTCACAAGGATTCTGGGCAACTGAATTTAAAGTAATCAGTTTCTCGTGGTGTCATCCTAGGCAGAGTTACACCCTTATAAGCCAATTGACTTCAGTGGAGATGGGAGGTAATTCCACTTAGGATTGTACTGTTGGAGTATGAAATAAAAATCAGCTGCAAGTTTCTTTCTGTTTTTAATGAAATACATGAAGGTTGAAGTGTTTTACTGTCAAAACAATGCAAAAGAAAATAGTAACACTTATGCCTGCCTGTGGACTTTGTTGACCAAAGCTCTGTAATCTTTAGCTGAGGATACGTAACTCCTATCTCACTGATTTGTCTGCCAGGAAAGTCATGACATTACAGTGTTTATTGCTTAATAAACACAACCTTGCTAGTTTTTGTTATCTTTAGTATAAAATTCCAAACTTGCTGCCAGTCTCCTTAATCATCAATTTCCTGCTTTTTATATGTAATCAGAGCTTAATGTACTTCAGAGGTACAAAGTAATTAGACCTATTTCCTTTTCCTATTCCTTTTGTGTTACATGGTGGTGTTGATGGTAATGGCCCTGCGGGGGAGGGGGGTTGTTCTGACGCTTTAGGAGATGTCTTTGGTTAGCAATAGGACAGTAAGTCTTATTCTGCTCCTTCTAGATAGAATCCTTCAGTGCTATTTCCTGTGGCTCTTGTTTCTACTGCAAAGTTACAAGCAGTGTGCACATTTGTTGATATCCCACAGGCAAACATCATGATGTTTCTGTTTAACTGAATCCACTCCTACAGAAAGCTTAAGGAACTGAAGTATGCAAGGGTAAACATTTAGTTTATTGTCAGTCAACACAAGGTTTTTCTTTTAGTCAAGCTTTGTTCTGAAACCACTTTTTCTGTAAACAAGCTCAGAAAGTTGCAGAAAAATGGAGCCGAACTTGTAAACTACCTCAAAGACATTATGTCAGGCAACTTAGCAATCACAGTACCCTTTTGTGATCCAAAAGGTAGAGGAGACTTGATAGGAAGTGACTTTCGCCACTGCAGAAAAATCTACCAGCTGTGTTGGCTTGATTCTTCACTGTGAAAAATAAGTTTTTACTTGGAACAATATAAGCTCTGGGTGAGGCAGGTGTAAACAGGGCTCTTGCTTCTGAGCTAAGCCACTTGCATTTGCGCCATGTTTGCACTAAGGCCCTGAAGAACTGCAACTACAAAAATCACAGATCTGATTTTTCTTATGTTTTTTTTCCCTACCAGGTGGTGAGACTGAGAAAACTGGCCCAGCAGATAGCTAATTGTAAACAATGCATTGAGCGCTCAACCTCACTGATCTCACAAGCTGAGCAGTCCCTGAAGGAGAATGATCATGCACGCTTCCTGCAGTCTGCTAAAAACATAACGGAAAGGTAATGCCATAAGAATATATGGAGGGCCATGCTAGATCAGACTAAGTGGCCTTCCAGTCCAACATTCTGTTTACCACATTGGCCAACCTAATTGCCTGCAAGGACTATAAGGTGGGCATGTTTCAGTCCCCATGTCAGGGCAGGCACATGAAGAACATCCTCTACACATGTAGAACTGAAACTAGATTCAGTGGTGGGGACCATTTAAGCGTAGTATATACACAGTTCCTGTAATGGTACAATAAGTCTCCTGAGGAGGAAAGTATACACACTGTGTCAGCCTTTTTGTTTTACTCAAGCCAGCATTAGACCTGAATGTACACAAGCCAGGTTTGTTGCTAAACTCACATGCACACTTTGCTCCTCCCTACTCCCCCCTCCCTTTTCATCCAGAGCATGGCAAAGGAATCCCTGTTTAAAATGAACTCTGGTTAGCTATGGTTAAGCCATAACCCAGCATTTGTATGGCATGGATAACATGAGTTAGTTTTGAACCAGGATTCTATCATTGTGTTCCCCACAAAGGGAAAGGGAGGACAGAGGAGTAATTGTTATTGAACTAACCAAGACACAACAGAAGGCAAAAATGACAGCAGTACAAAATAGCGAAACTGACTGACAGCAATCTATTAGCAATTTACTTGTGACAATCAAAAGCCATACACTTTTGCACTATCCTAGTGTTCGTTTATATTTTAGTTAATACTCAGAGTTATTTTTTACCTACATTATGTTCCTCCTATATGGTTGGTACATAATCTAGAAAGAAGTGATAGGTGTAGGGGTTACAAACAAAAGGACCAGAAGATGCAAAAGGATTAATGGGGAAAGATTTTCTAGATAGGAAAGGAAGGAGTCCTTAGCCATGTAGGGATACTGTGGAAGGAGACCAACTGGCTATAGAGCTGACCAGTGAGGAGAAGGAGAGCAAGCTAAGACATGGAAGTGGATAGAAGGAAAATGGAGGTAGGTTTCAGGAAGGGAAGCAAAATGGGAGATGGAAAAAGCACACTATGCCTGTCTTGAAGAGAAAGTGCAGTGATGTCAGTGTCAGCAATGATGGAAGAAAGTTTGGGGGCAGAACTAACTAAAACAATGGAGGACTTTGCAAGCCCTTTTTTATATACCCCCTGATTTACCGAAGTGCAAATCGGGGAAGCAGTGCTATTGGCCAAACTGGTAAAGAACTAGCAATAGCATTGGGCCAAAATGTCAGGGTCCAGCTGCCCATTGTTGAAAGTTGGGTCCTACTGAGTTTTGTGAAACTTTGGGATCTGAGACTCCATTGCTGAGAGGTTCAGAATTTGAGTTGTCATCAGCTAATTCAAACATCTGTTGTAAGGGGGTACTAGTAAGGGTATACCCAGGTTATGTAATAGAGAAGAGGAGATGACTCAGATTTTAGGTGTTTGATTTGAGTTGGGTGGCAGGCATGTCTCAGATCTGGTCAGGTGATGAGCTGATGTGTCTTCCACGTGCTTTGATTTAATTTCCAAAGAAGTCTACATTATGGGGGAGAGGTTTATTGTCCTGCAAGCACAGGTTATTACTCATTGCCAGGGTGTTGGTAGTTGTTGAGAATCATACAGAAGAGGCTTGAATAATAGGCCCTTGGAGTTGCCATGGCAATCAAGCTACTTCCTCTTGAAAGCACCTCAGAAAATACATGCTTTAATTGGGAAACCTGACCTGATATCCAAAGGATGAATTCATCCATACCTCTGACTTTGCTAGACAACATTGGGGTGCAACAAGACACGGGTCTCCGAGGTGGGCCCATTTGGTCCCTAGTTGTTTGACCTGAGCATCCTGTATTCAGATGTACACTGCCACAGATGTCTGACCTCTGGAAAGATATCAGAATGTTCAGAGCATTTCAGCATTGTAATAATATTTCAGTATGTTGATAAGCAATTATTATAAAAAACCAGTACCTTTTAGGAACATCTATGGAGGGAGAAGTAAAGTTAAATATATGTAATAGTTGTAAAAGATGCTGTCATTAAATCATAGATTAGCCACAGCCGCATGGAGTATGATTATGTAATAAGTAAGGATATATATCCCAGGATGTAAATCTCTTGGTCCCTGGGGTGTCTAGGAGAAAAGCAGGTATATAAATACTTTAAATAAATAAAAAATAACATGAAAAATTGAACCATAAAAGCCCCACTGTTTTCATTCATTGGGTACTAAAAACGGTTATTCATTCATGGATTGATTCCTGTCATTCACTCATTGACCTGAAGGTCAAAGATAAGGAGAGAAATCTCTCTCTCTCTCTCTCTCTCTCTCTCTCTCTCTCTCTCTCTCTCTCTGGTATACTTGGCCCTTCCTCCCCCCCCCCCCCCCCCTTGCTTTCTCTTCTCCTATACCTCAACCATACTTACCGTACTGTGGATAGAACAGGCATTGCAGTGGCCTAGACTTAGGGCAGAATAATCTCACCCTTCCCTGCCAGTACATTAAAGTATCCTGAGAGGACTGTTTTCCTATGGTGCACCAAAGTACAGCATTTTAAGCAATGCTGAAACAGTGTCTTCAAGATATCACTAGCCATGAAACACAGATTCTCTTCCCACCAAGTCTGTTTTACTGTGCAAGGTGGGGTTTTTTTGCACATTTGTGGTATATTGGTGACTGTATTGCTATTTCTCAGTGAGAGTGGCTATTGAAGTATTCTCTAGATTTGTTTATGAAAATTATGTTTTCATAAGTTTTGTATACACACTTTGTCAGCCTTTTTGTTTTACTCAAGCCAGCATTAGACCTGAATGTACACAAGCCAGGTTTGTTGCTAAACTCACATGCACACTTTGCTCCTCCCTACTCCCCCCTCCCTTTTCATCCAGAGCATGGCTAAGGAATCCCTGTTTAAAACGAACTCTGGTTACCTGTGGCATACAAATGTAGCTGTGCGGCTAAACAGGATTCTAAACCTGGATTAAAACCATGAATTAAACCATGACTTGGAATACTAGTTTACAGGAGGAGGAATAGCTATGGTTAAGCCATAACCCAGCATTTGTATGGCATGGATAACAGGAGTTAGTTTTGAACCAGGATTCTATCATTGTGTTCCCCACAAAGGGAAAGGGGGGACAGAGGAGTGAGGCACTCAGGTATGCTTGGCAACAAGCCAGGTTCATGCATATTTAGGCTTAATATAGGTTTGACTGACATTTGAATGCACACTAGAAAAACACACTTGCTGTTGGAACAGCTGGAATTAAAATATTTTCCAGCAGTCATCTAAAGCAATAGGAATTACCAATGCATCAAAGGGAAAAGAGAGGCATTATTATTATTATTATTATTATTATTATTATTATTATTATTATTATTATTATTATTATTATTATTATTGTCACTGTCAGATATTTAATTAGTAGATCGTGTTCTTCAATTTGAGCTCTAGCCAAGTTCTGGGATTTGCAGAGGCATCTTTGCAGGATTCTTGCTGTTCCACATGACACTGTCTTTAATAATGATAATAATGCCTCTCTTTTCCCTTTGTGTTTACCAATACATCAAAAAGATCTAGGAAATGAAGTTATATTAAGCATAATATGTAATAAAATTAGTCTGCAGTCTTCACTCATAGTGTTTCAGACTTGACTTTTCTACACTAGAGTGTACAAGGACAGTTTTGCACGGGAACGTTGAGTTTACTAGAGCAATTCAGATATTCTGATCAAGCACGTAATATGGATGACAGGTAGCTACAATTGATTGAAATTGTGTAGCTACTTTCAAACTGGCCCGATGGGCTATTCCCTACTGTACAGCAGGAGGCCTGTTTGATTTGCCTGAATGGATGTAAATTCTCTCTTGAACTTTTTCAAAACATAAGAATCCACTTATAGGTCTTGTACGCATTGTCATGTCTTTGAGATCCCAGGCTGAAATCTTCAAAGCTTTGTAAGCCTTCATGTAAGCCTGCAGCTTGCCCAACAATAAATACAAGCCATGAAACAAAGAAAGAAAAATTTTCCATTTAAGGAATCCTGCTGGCTTCATCTTCATTTAGCAGATTATAGAATTAAGTGGTGTGGCTGTTATCAGCTAGAGAGGTGTTCTGCAGATCAGTTCAAATCCAGATATAGAAACAGATGTGTGAAGTGACACCTGGAAGAAGATACTATTGAGACAAACTGGGTTGAGGGGAAAAATAGATGAATATCTGTGGGGACAATTTCATATTTCCTTGCTGTTTGTACAAGTAACTTCATTGAAAAAAACCACACTGCTCTGATGCTTTCCAACTCAGGATATTTGATCAATTGCAGAAGAATAAATGGGCCTTCTACTGTAATGCAGCTCAAGATCTTACAAGAATCAGATTTAACTTTTCATACTTAGAGAGAAAGCAACATGACTAACATTAATCCATAGTGTTCCTTCATAATATCTGACTGGAAATCAACCTTAAGATTTCTTGCAGCCTTGCTTTAGTTGAAATAATTTTTCTTCTCTGTTTTTGAGAGTGTAAAGAGCTGGTCTGTGTTGAATAGTAATCTTTGTACAACAGGAATGTCCCCTAAACATGGCAGGGGGAAGGGCTGTGATTATTCAGTGGTAATGGAATGGTAGTCTGCACATGTTCCGGTGACTCTTTATTGCTACATCATGTGATATTGACATTCAAAATAATTTCAGTGGTTCGCATTCTTTCATTGCAGAGTCGCCATGGCAACTGCATCCTCCCAGGTTCTAATTCCTGAAATAAATCTCAATGATACTTTTGACACCTTTGCTTTAGATTTTACCAGAGAAAAGAAACTACTGGAATGCCTTGATTATCTGACAGGTAAGAGATGTTGAGGGAGCTGCGGTGGCTCAAGTGGTTAAGACACTGAACTGCAGGCTGTGGAAGGTCAGTAGTTCAGCGGTTCAAGACCCGGGTGCCGCAAGACAGGGTGAGCTCCTGTCTCTAGTTCCAGCTCCTGCCAACCTAGCAGTTCGAAAGCAAGAAATTGCAAGTAGATAAATAGGGACCACTTCGGTGGGAAGGTAACAGCGTTCCGTGCACCTTGGTGTTTAGTCATGCCGGCCACATGACCACGGAAACGTCTGCGGACAGCGCTGGCTCTTCGGCTTTGAAACGGAGATGAGCACCGCAACCCTAGAGTCGGATTCGACTGGCTTTCGAGCAAGGGAACCTTTACCTTTACCTTTAAGAGATGTTGACCAAGTTCTGGGACTATTTCCCCCCATCTCTGTTGTTCCTGTGCCATCTTTACTGAAAGGCAATAATTATTCATTTACAGAATGTCATTTTATAGGCATCTCACCAAATAAGAGGGAAACCACTATTGTTTATAGTGTGATACTTAACCAGGAAACTTTTATTTATCTTCCCATATACATATAAGGATATACATATGATAGCTTTTGCACCCTCCCTAGAAAAAACTTGTTGTTGAGCAAACCTTGTGCAACTCTATCAATGTATCCATGTATATCTCTTGTGTTCCTTCATAGAGCAGGAAGCAGGTGTGACATGCTCTCCAAACGATATCTAGCTGCAGCACTATAACTGGTGTTTGTTTACTAAGCTGTGAATTTCCCTGCCTTGACTTCATTGGTTTCCACTGGCACTCTGCACATGCCACTTCCCAGAATGAGTAAATTTGCAAGGCAGTTCTGTCACAATGTGCATGGTGTGTTCCTGCACATCGTTGGGCATGAGACAACAAGAGATTTCTGCTTTTGGCAGCAACTTTGTGTTGGCTTTGACATCTGATTTGTGTTCTTGTTTAAGTTGGTCTGCATCCCTTTTGGCAGTCCCTTTATGTCATGATGGGTTCATAGCCAGAAAGCGATATTTTACTGATGGACTTTCATGTTGCAGTATTGAGGGCAGCACAAATCCTAGTCACATCATGTCTGAATGTTTCTTTTTTCCTTACACTTCATTTGACTCGTACATCAAAAAGGCAATTCAAAAGTAAAACATAGTCTTATGTATTCAAATAAATTTTAAAAGTTCATTGTTACTTTGTGCCAGTCTCTAAAAGTTTTTAAACTAAATATGTCCTTTAATGTGATTTGTGCCCATAAAAGTCTAAGCGTGTTATTCTTTGCCAGTATCCCCCTTCTCCACTTAAGTGCTTCTGTTTTAGAAATACAGGATGTGATCTAGCCAGAGTTCAGCATCATAAAGTCCCATTGATTTTAATGTGATGGTAAAGCATTAACTGGTCTCAGCGGGACTCTAAAGTGTTTAACTTTGGTTGGGTCATGCCTACTGTAGCATATAAGTAGCCTTATGAATTCTACACTAAAAATTTGTGGAACTTGACCTAGCAGCAGATTTGTTTTAGTGCTGCTTGGAGAGAGAGGCTGTTATGTAGAAACACATTTTTCTGGTATGACAGGATTGTGTTTCTGCCTCCTACAAAATCAAATAATAAAGCATTAGGCCTTCCCGGGCCATATTATACTGTCTATGGGAAGAATCTGCAGAATCATGAGCTGAATTCTATTGCAGTAGAGGGTCCCTTGCCTTCTCCTGCAGCCTCTGCACCCCCAGAAAGGTTCTCCAGGATATTCTTTGAAACTATGTGACACATATCCTGAAGAAGAATCAGCTGAAATCAGAAGAGTGCCTTCTACCCTTCCATTCTCAGGATGCCATCCTATATCCTGTGAAAACATAGGATCTTCGACGTGGTCTCTGTGCTTCACACCCATGGGATCTAGTGCGCACGCGCTGGATCGATCGGCATTGTAGCAAGCTCTTTAACGGATTTTCGCGCCCAGACCTCGGGCATGCGCAGGAACCCCACCGTGTATGCCCAGAGGGAGGGCGCGGACATCCCGCCAGTTCCTTTCTTACCACCGCGTTGGAAAGTCCTCTTTCTCATTGGTCTGATCAGTTCGCTTTTTTGGCTATTTGCCTCACGGCTCTTCGGATTTTTCCTCACTTTATTCTCTTTTCTTTAGTACTTCTTCGTTTGTTCTTTCAAAAACTAAAAAAAAAACCCTTTATTTTCAGTTGAGGGGAAGGTTGCCAGTTTACCTCAGTGTGGCCTTCGGGCTACCCCCCCCCCCTTCTTTCTTCTTCGCTGTTTATTTTTATGGAGAAGTGGGGCTTTTTTAACCGGTGCAAGGGTTGCGGCAGTAAACTTGCTCCACCTGACCGTCATACCCTCTGTATTTTTTGTCTGGGAGAGTCTCATCGACCTGTTGCCACTGTGCTTGCTTTTCAAACCAGACAAGAAAAAACCGAGCTGCACGCCTTAAAGTGACACTCCTTGAGTCAGCTTTACATCCTCCCACAATGATGGAGTCCGAGAGGCCTTCAACATCGACGGCTCCAGCATCAAGGCCCTCTTCTGATATTGGTCAACCGACATCGAAACCACCGACATCGAAGGCACAATCCTCCGCTTCCACGCCGGTGAAAAAGAAAGCCAAACCAAGTAAGGAGCACAAGTCCGCAAAGAAGGGCTCCTCTAAGTCCCTTAAGGCGGCAAAGAAAGGAAAGGTAGCGGTGTCTGCACTGGGTGATGCCCCTAAAGGGCCTCCCGTTCCAATGGCAATATCGATACCAGAGGCCCAAGCCCCTCCACCGATACCAACCATTCAACTCTTGGACTCCCCTATACACCAATTGGAGCATCCTTACTCCGATATCGAGACGGTATAGCTCCTAAGTCATCAGATGGATGCAGAGCCTTCTCCCTCTCCATCCCCATCATCGACATCGATGGTATCAGAGGCTCCTGACATCGATTCATGACGGAATCGACATGCTTCTAGCAGCACGCAGCGTCGCCCTCCGTGTCTGCATATTCAATCTGTCGATATCGACGACCGAGATTACAGGGACTGCTCTCAAAGACAGGCTGCCGCTTTGTCTCCGAGACGTCCAAGAAGTCGATCTCCCCGAGTCTTTCTACCCCCCCCACCTCTGTCTTGGGATCAACACCAAATGAGGTATCTTTATGGGGCTTATCCACCATCTATGCCATGGTTGACTCCGGCAGGATATTCAGACTGGGATCATTATTCATCCCACTCTGCCCATAGATCGAGGTCGCCCTACAAGTCGAGACCTTCGGCATCTGTGTCTCGTCCTCCTGCAGACAACCCTACCCACCATGATCTGGAACCCAGTCATCCTCCCAATCTCCAAGTTGTACCACTGAAACCCTTAACCGGTCAAATTCTGGACACTCTGGTCCAAATGCCACACCAGGACTCCTCTGACTCTGCGGAAGAGGATTCGGATACGGAGGCCTCTGAGGCTCACACCTCTCCTGACCATAAGTCTCCTAACCAGGCTGTCACTGAGGATCTCCCCATATCCCCATCCGACAATCTCACGTCATACACAGACCTCGCCAAAAGAATGGCCCATTCTCTAGGCCTCTCTGTCATCCAACAACACCCTCAGGTGACAGATGCAGTTTTCGATATCGTGTAGTTGGATACCTCCACTACTTTGGCATCACCAATGTCAACAGTCCTTTTACAAGCCGCAAAGGCACAATGGGAAAAGCCTTCATCAGCCCCAGTGTCAACAAGACGCCTGGATCACATGTACAGAGTCCAGGAAACCGGAGCTGAATTTTTATTCTCCCACCCTCAACCAAACTCAATGGTTGTAACATCCTACACTCTGTGGGAAAGGTTTTCCGAAATCCTAACTCATCTTCCCGAAGACAAACTTCAGGCAGCTAGAGTTATTCAAAAGGAAGGTATGGTGTTGGCAAAACAGCAGATCAACACTTCAAAACACTAGTCGCGTCCTCAAGAACGATGGCCTCTGCAATAGCTCTGAGGAGACATTCCTTGCTCCGTAATACCAATCTTCTTCTAAATACTAGGTCTTATGTCGAAGACCTCTCATTTGATGGCCTTGGTCTCTTCAACAGAACTACCGATTCCATACTCCAAGATATGGATAAGATCATAAAGGCTTCCTGTGCTCTAAGAGTGTCATCCTCCGCGAGACAACAATACCGTCCCTGCACATGGTCGAGACCCTGGCAAAAGCATACCCCAAGTCGTCAGTCTCCTGACAGACAATGGAGACCGCGTACATCTTCAGGAGGCCAAAGACCCACCTTCCAAAAACCCAGGTTTGGATCTGGGCAACAATCTTCCCACACCAAACAGGCAAAATCCTCCAAACAGGGTTTTTGACTTCCCTTCCACCGAGTCAGCTCAAACCCGCCTGTCTCCTTTTCTTCACACCTGGCGTCATATCACCACGGACGAATGGGTACTGTCCATTGTGACCCGAGGCTGCTGTATTCAATTCCACCAGAACCCCATTACTCCTGTCGTCGTCTCCACACCCCCTTCCCCACCTCTCCTAGAGGAGGTGTCTGTCCTTCTGCACAAAGGAGCCATCGAGCCGGTGCCCTCTCATCTGCAAAGGAAGGGATTCTATTCCCGCTATTTTACAGTTCCAAAGCGAGATGGAAGCATTCGACCTATTTTAGACCTGAGAGCATTGAACTGCTATGTGACCTACCACCGCTTCCACATGGTGTCCTTGCAGCAGATTGTGTCAATCTGCAGAGAAACGTCTGGATGGCCACCCTCGACCTCCAAGACGCGTACTTCCACCTCACCATCCACCCCTCCCACCGCCAATACCTGCGCTTCGCAATCGGTCAACAACATTACCAATATGCAGCCCTGCCATTCGGCCTGTCAAGTGCCCCGAGAGTCTTTACAAAGACTATGATTGTCGTTGCAGCTTTCCTCCATCACAGGGGTATCTCCATCTACCCCTATATCGACGATTGGCTCCTGGTAACGCCTTCAAAGAACGCCCTGGTCTCAAACATC